TGTGGAGCTGCCGGGAGCAAGACTTTTGTCCCCGAGCTGCTTGGAAGGCCTGGGATTTCTTTCACTCCCGCAAAGCTCTCCTGGCACAGATCTCCCTGTTCTTGTCAGGTCCTCACCTTCCGCGCTGCCCGCTTGACTGTGCACCGAATGTCCTCAGGGAGGAATCCCCTGAGGCCTAATTCCTCGACCCGCTGCTGACACAGATTGTTGCTCCCTGTTCTTGTCAGGTCCTCACCTTCCGCGCTGCCCGCTTGACTGTGCACCGAATGTCCTCAGGGAGGAATCCCCTGAGGCCTAATTCCTCGACCCGCTGCTGACACAGATTGTTGGCAAAATACTGCAGAGGAGAAAAGGCGAGGAGCTGATGAGGAGAGTGTGGGGGGCACGGCCTGTCGGAAAGCTGGAGGGAGCCCTGAGGAACTCACCAGGCAAAACTCATGGGCACAGAGCCCCTGCTTCTGCAGTTTGTGCCCGCAGATATCTGGGTCAGCCTCCGGACGGCGGCACAGTGTGCATGCTGGAGGGGAGAGAGCAAACACCAGCGGGAATGAGCAGCTCTGCGGGGCCGGGGGCCGCGTCCCTGAGGGATTGCCCCCAAGGGCTGCTCTGTGGCTGCCCAGCCGGCTCGGTGGGCGGGGCTGGAGGCTTTGCAGAGGGAGGGGGCATTGCAGGCACGGGCGTCCCGGGAGGTGCCCAGTGCCCAGCCTGGGCCCTGCTTGCTGAGGAGAGGAGGAGCCCCTGCCCCGGGGCGTTCGGGGAGCTCATGCCTCCCCCTGCCACCACTCTCGGCCCTCGCTGAGTGCCCCACAGAATCACAGAATCACAGAATGTTCCGGATTGGAAGGGACCTCTGGGGATCATCTATTCCAACCCCCCTGCCGAAGCAAGGTCACCTACAGCAGGCTGCACAGGACCTCGTCCAGGTGGGTCTTGAATATCTCCAGAGAAGGAGACTCCACAACCTCCCTGAGCAGCCTGTTACAGTGCTCCATCACCCTCAGAGGGAAGAAGTTCTTCCTCATGTTCAAACGGAACTTCCTGTGCTTCCGTTTGTGTCCGTTGCCCCTTGTCCTGTCTCTGGGCACCACTGAAAAGAGCTTGGCCCCATTCCCCTGACACCCACCCTTGAGATATTTATAAGCATTTCTAAGGCCCCAACAACCCCTCTGCCAGGCTGCAGGAGGGACACTTTGCTCTCACCTGGCTCCATCGGGTCGAGGGTCTTCTTGTCCACAGCGGACGTGGACCACGTCAGCAGGGAGTGCCTGGAGAATCCCTGCGCTGGGCCGTAACCTCCAAATTCACCTCTGCTGACTCTGAGGGAGAAGCAGGACGTGGGTGAGGGAGAAGAGAGAGGCGGGTGAGTCTCAGCACAGGCCCAGAGCCCCGAGGCGTGGGGCCGCCCTCCCCCCTGCTCTGAGAGGGCCACCGCGTCCCGGGGGGGGGTGCGAAGTGCCGAGGCGGGGGCCCGAGCCCTCGGCACCCCCGTAGCCGGGGCCACGGGGAGCATCGGTTTTGCTCCTGCAATAGGGCAGGGATGCAGGCTAGTGCCTGTGCACTCTGTCAGTCGTTTTACTGTAGGACAGGGCAGCTTGTTGTTGTGGAGAAGGGGGGTCACGGGGAAGCAGAGGGGCTGCAACTCCACTGCCGTCATGGTGGAGAAGACCACACAAGATATAGACGTAGTTGTGTGGCTTGGTGGCTCAGAGATGGAAATAGCTTTACCAAACCCGCCTGGCAGAGCACAATCCAAGACTGCTGACCATGTGCGTGCAGGCTTGGCCTGAGATGTGTTATCACAGAGGTACAGAATAAGTGCTGGCTGTGCCAGGGCACAGATTAACCATGGATTTACGCCCAGAGTGTGCCAGTCTAATTGGCAGGCCTATTGGTCCCTTGTGAGTGCACCAGCACAAAGGGGATTATCATGCTTGGCCACTGTGGTCTTGCCACAGTGAGAAAAATCAGTCTGGATCCAGAATACCTATGTATTTAAGGTGAATTTGGTAAAGCACATTACAGCTCTGTTTTGGCATTTTTAATCAAAGGTGATTTTTGTGTGATCAGAATTCATTATCTTACCAAGTTAATTGATCTGAGCTTAATTTCGGAATTTTTTAGTCCTGAATTAGAATATCCACCCAAAAAATGCATGAAGTTTCAGTATACACTTAAAAAATTAATTTGTATTCATTTCTGTGAGAGCACAGTGTGTGGACTGGAGACCGGTCCGTGGATTCATGTCGGTGAAGTGAGAGAGCTGTCAGCACTGCCGGTGCTGGAGGAGTTTGGATTCAAACAGGAGCTGCCAAAATTATTTGTCTTAATAGATTTTCACCTTCCATGTCCTTTCACTTAGTCTACTTTCAGAGGACATATCCTTGGTTATAACTAGTGATGTTTTTCAGGAATGTAGTAACCTGTAGAATCTTTGACCTGGTATGTTTTTGAGGAACATAAAGCTTATGCCAACTAACTACACAAAAAGATTTTTTCATTCATTCCACACCAAACAGCATCAATCTCTTGCACATTAACGGGGCTAGCATTGTGACTAGATGATCTAAAAAGTTCTGAAACAGTAAATGTTAAAGTCTCCGTTTGTCTTGTCGTGACAGTTTCCTGAACTTTGACAAATGGAGTCCGTAAAAACTGTTGGTAAATTGGAGGCTATCAGGTCTTGTTTGTAGCAACATATATACAGACACATGTACAAACAACTCTGAAATGTGCCATTTCCTGAAAAGCGACGTTAATAGGACGTCACCACCTGTCACGATTGCTGCCGTTTCCAAAGATGTTGGTCTTTCAGCTTGACCTTTAAACCACTGTTAGGATACTTTTGAGTAATCAAGATTTGCATCTTCAAAATGTCAGTAGAACAAAAGCTACTGTTGTCCTGACTCAGCTGAGTAGATGTCAAAGACTTGCTGTTTAGCCGCTGACAAACTTTCAAGTCCATTTTAAGAGAAGAATGTGTTTTATTCACAGTTAGGGTTAGGATACACCTTTACCATTTAATTCTATTTATGCTGATATTTCTGACTCGTTTCTTGCCACCAACAAGTGGCAACAAGCAATTTTGATGTTTACACAGATTGTCTTCCCACATGTCTTCATGGGTTTTAAAGGAAAATCAAATGAAGAAAAACAGAAACTGGCTGTCCTCAGTTAAAGTGAAGGCATAGCATAGGGTTAAAGATCCATGAACTTCATTAATTCAGGAACTGATTTTGTTAAATGAGTACATTTGCTACGAGGGAAAAAAAAAAGCTCTCAAAACACTTTACACTCTCTTGGTAAGGCATTGGAGTCTCCAAGGAGTTGTAATTAAGCCCCTTTTTTATGGCCAGTGTATTTGTAAAAATTAACATAGAAGCAAAAGAAAAACAGATTGTTGAAGCTTTATCCAACTGTTTATTACTCTGGAGTACTCTTTATTTATTTTTGTTTACTGATCTGTCTCTTTTGCCTTGCACTGCATTTTGCAGAGATGTTAATTTGAGTGAAAAATTAGACTTCGCAGTCTTTTGCGTGATGTAAAAAATTGCACAAAGTACAGCGGTCCAGGTCCAGAATAGCCAGACAGCCAACACCTAGATGAGCTTGGGCATAGGCAGAGCTTCATTTTTATACTGAAGAAGTTCACATGGACAGAGCAAGAAGAGGAATGAGGAAAAGCTCTACACGCAAGTTGTTGGTGGCAAGCGGGCAGCTGTCCTCTGCCTGTCCCACAATGAAGTGATGCACACAGAAGTTTGACTTCTGTTCCCCAAATAGTCATGTAATTTTTACAAGACTGTGCAACACATCTGAGCTACGGTTCCCGCTCCACTGAAACGATGTAAATGGTTGCATCCCTCTGTTTCAGGAAGTCGAAAGCGGCCTTTGGATGTGAGAACTGATAAAGAGCGTTGAGACCAGTAGATTGGACTGTGCTGTAGCAGCTCAAAAGATTGTCGTACGTTGTGCATTTTCTGATCAATCTCTGACAAGCCCACTCTCTGTGACAGTACTGCAGCTGGGGGGGGGAAAGCGCTGTTTTAACACGGGATTAAATCAGTAGCTACCCACTCTGCTGAAGCACCTCACAGCTGGCGACAGCAAAGGAGAGACAGTCTTATGTGCTATAAGTGATACCTGCTTCTCTCTCATCAGTTTATATGGGAGCAAATCACGCCCTTCCACTGCAGATCTATGATGAAGCGTCTAAAATGAATGATAGACCTCCTTCTGGGAGTAATAGTCTTATTTCTGGGGCACATTTCTGGCATGGTTTCCCAAGGAACTTCCCATTTCTGACAGAGCAGGTGCCAGGGAGTCAGGAATCTGGCATTTCATTTTTAGGCTTCTATTTTGAGTGCATCCTCAGGGTGCTGGGTGTCGCACTGTCAGAGGGTCTTTGGTGGGGGTCCGTCCCGTGTCCTGCTCACGGCGCCTCGATGTTCATGACTCTCTGGAATGGCGGCGCAATACCGACGAGCACGGCGTGAAGGTAACGTTTACCTTCAGCATTTAGATGTCGCAGAGTACAGAAAACGGGGTGGTACCGAGATGTGTATTTCAGAGCATACGCTTCGTTACCCAGCGCAGCCCCTCACGCTCCGCCGGAGCAGGCCTTGCAGAGCAGTGACCTCTTTAGGACAAACCGAGCCACTGCCGGCGGCAGCACCTCCCCGTCGCCAGCTGCGCTTCCGTGAGATCGCCTTTCGCGCCCTGCCTGGGGCTTCTTCCCGCATTTTCGGGTCAGCGGATTTGAGCGAGGATGTCGTAACGCTGTGTGTGTACCGAGAAACCCAAAATGTTGCTCAAATGCGTCGTGCTGCAGGCTCCTTCTGTGACTTTTTTGTGTCAAGAATTGTACCCGCGTCTTCCCCTCACCCCCCCACCCGCCGGTTTTATTTGTTCACTGATGCTGTATCACCAGGCCGCTGAGGACGCTTGCTTTTTTGCCTTGCTGTTTTGCAAGTCAATGTTGTTCACTCCTCTTATTTTACCATAGAGACAGAATTTACGTGAGCACTGGATTTTTTTATGTTTGCTTCAAAGTGCAAACGCTGAAAGCCGAGTATAACTGGTTGACCGCTGCTTTCTTCAAAAGCTTCTTGTTCCAGGAGAGCATCTTGAAAAAACTGAACCCTAAAACTGAGCCCTAAAACTTTCAGCCACAGAAGATGAGGAACTTGGAATATATTGGGTTTGGAGTGCTTTACCTTTCTCGGGCCTGAGTCAGGAAGGAATTTTTTTTAATGTTTTCAATCAAACAATACCTAAAAACAATTCTGTAGCATCTTTTGTGCGTGATGATAATTGTAAATGTTTCTGCAGCCCAAGTGACATGTGGAAGAGTTTCCTCAAGAGCAGGAGGAACCACTAAGAACTGCTTAGCAGCAATCCTAGTTTCAGGCTCTGGTCCTGTCTGGTTTCCTGCGTTGTATGCCCATTCCAAGCGTACAGGGGGAACCTTCCACCGTGAGATCTCAAGCAGTTTGTGCAGACCTTTTCTGCAGGTTCTCAGCGTGTTGCGTTTCCCACCTGACGGTGTAAGTGCATCTCCTACCGATAGTGGTTATCTGCGCCAGCAGGGAAAACGGCTTAACTTAGCTGAGCGATCGTATAGACGGGTTCCTGAACTTTTCTTGAAGTTTTCCAGCCCTGCAAATCGCAAATCCCCATTCCTCGAGCACCCG